TTTCATCATCAAAATTACCACTTTTGATTTAATTATGGTGCTTCTTATAACAGAAGATATGAGTGTATCCAAATAAAATCACCATTGCAAACTTGATGCATCCCCCCACCCCAAAAAAACTGAATTACAATTCTTTTTGCAGGCCAGTGTTTCGTTTCTCCCTTTTCTCTGGTTTTTTTTTGAGGTACCTTTTTCCCTGGTTGACATAAGTACTGATAGCTTATGTATGATTTGATAGCTAAGTCATGCTCTTCTCTTCACTTAGGATCTATGAGCGTGTGGTTGATTGATTGAATTGCATCTAAGGCTATCATTAATTAATTGAGATATTTTGGCTGCTGCGCTGGTTGAGTGTCAACTTTCATCTTGATTCAAAACCGTGCTACTGGTATGTATCTTATATGATGAATTATGTGCACATCCGTCACTATTTGGTGCCTTCTGCAGAAACATTTGTCCGAGCTGATGGAGCGTTTATTCCCTTTGCTGAAGATTTCAACATGAATAATGTTGTTACATTTGTTAAAGGTGTCGGTGAGATTGGTGATGTCAACAAAATAGACCTGCAATCCCCAATCAACAGTCTCATTGGACGAAAGGTGATCAAGGTTGGAAGAAGTTCTGGCTTGACTAGAGGGACCATAATGGCATATGCCCTTGAGTACAATGATGTAAAAGGGATTTGTTTCTTCACCGACTTTCTTGTTGTTGGAGATGACCAGCAGACGTTTGACCTTGAAGGTGATAGTGGAAGTCTTATTCTTTTAACCGGTCAGGATGGGGAAAAGTCACGTCCAGTTGGGATTATTTGGGGAGGAACGGCTAATCGGGGTCGGCTGAAATTAAAAGTTGGTCAGCCTCCTGAGAATTGGACCAGTGGAGTTGATCTCGGACGTCTTCTTGATCTCCTTGAGCTTGATCTTATTACAACAAGTGATGGTTTACAAGGTTTGGTTATCTTGACCAATCACAATCAGTAAAGCCATTTTAGATCTGTGGTTAATTTTTATATTTTACCACTTTTTTAACAACCTATCGAGTTGCATGTGCTTTGTGTTATATTGCCAATGAAGGTTTTGATTTTTATCATGAAGATAAATTTTGAAGTTTTATCTCTAAGTCATGCATACTTAGTCCAATGTCTAGCTGGGGGAGGGAAAATGATTAGCATATATATACATCAAATATGTTCCTGATGTGTATGTGTTAATTTGTTATATGGATGGTAGAAATCCCCAAAAATGCCTGCCCAGAACAAGTCAAGGAACCAGAGTTGGCCGGGACAGAAGAATTAGATCAAAATAAAAGTTTAGGAACATGTAAACCTCTTTATTTATTAGCATACTTATTGAACTTTTTCACTTATTTATTCATTAAAATTTAAAACTAATAATAATAAAAGATATTTCTCTGTTTTTGACATATAGTATGTGTATTTTTAATGTATTGAATTGAAAATAAAAATAAAAGGGGCATTTTCTTCATGGGAAACCCAACGAGTGTTGGGGGATTCTCGAGGAAACCGGGCAAGGAACGGGGGTCAATCCTATGGATGAATTTCTACCAGCTGTTTGTTTATAAGTTAAAGGCTTTGTGTATAAACCTTGTATATTTGGAAGACATGATTTTCTTATGGGTTCCTAATGGAGGGAGGAGAACTTCACTGTGGTTCTGATTTTCTAGTTTACTTTTGCCAAAGGCTTAGTTATCTGGTTCTCTATCCTGATTGATTTGTCTGTCATAATTTTTCTTCAACATGTTAGAAATATGGGTTCATATTTGCACATAAATTAGAATGGTTGTGTAGTTATAAAAGGGTTGTTCATGTAGAAGTGAGGTATCAAAATTTCATCTTTTAATAGTCCAGGGACCTTCCTATGCACCCATGCAATAATTGGAGTAAATGGGTTGTTGAAAACCTGAAAGAGAAGTTCTGTCATAACTTTTTGGCTCTTGCAAACATTTTATATCAATCATGTCTTCCTGACTTGGTTTTTTTTTACTCATTTTATGACTAATTAAGCTGCAGTGCATGAACAAAGGAATACTTCAGTTGGAGGGATTGATTCTACTGTTGCAGAGTCCTCTCTCGAGCGGATCCCCTTAAAATACAGACTCAAAGAGAACTCTGAGCCACTTGGTTTGAGTGTCCAGCAAATTTCTCCCGAAGGCGAGTCCTCTCAGGGGCTGATCTCGCCTTTTAAGCATGCTGCATTTCACATAGAAAAAAATGTGTTTGAGATGGCTCCGAGCGTTGAACTCCAATTTTTACCAAGATTAACCAGCAGCTCTCCTATGCATCAGAAGAACGACGAAAGTCACGAGTTGAAAAGTCTGTCTGCCCTGAGGAATGGCTTTGATAGTGAGGTATCGGTCTCACTGCAGTTGGGTGAGCCAGAGACGAAGAGAAGAAGGCACTCAGATTCTCTTTCAAGTATCAAGGAGTCATCATCATGAGTGAGACATAAGATAATAGATTCAATTTGGTACTGAAAATTGAAATAAGTTTAAACAGTTATATCTCCGTACTGGGTTCGGATCATTGTGCCGCCAAATTTAGCTGTAAAAACTGGGACTGCCCATATTACAATGGTTGAAGCCTCAAGGTGGGACGAGTTGCCATTCTTTTAAACGAGTCCTGTGAAGTGAAAGCTTTGAGGTTAGTTTTCAGTTCATACAACATATTATGGAAGAAGGGTATCTAAGCCGAGGTCCTTGGCATCTAAATTTTCTATTTACGTGGACCGACTAGGCTGGTGAAGTCCTTGTACCATAACTACTACTGGGAAAAAAGAGAGTTAAAAGTTAAAATATATATTTATATATATAAAGTTATCAGAAACTAAGAATGCAAAATGTTACAACATATTTGGAAGTTGGAACCCAATAAAAGAGTCCTCTTTTCTATAAGGTTCATGTTGCCTCCTCTTCTGAATTGTAGCTTTTTGATGCATCCTTTACAACTGTGTTGGTTCTTTCAGTCAAGGTGTGGTGTGTTGATGCATGTTGGTATGTCTTAGAAACATCATGTGGTTACAGCTAACGCATGACAAGATTAGCAACCAAATAAAGAGTAACGCTTCCAGATTAGCCCAGGAAATGTGGTAGTGCATCTTATAATGTCGAACCAAAATTTGAGAACTTGATGTAAAGGTTCTGTTGGACAACAATTTGGCAAGATGACCATTACATAAAAATGAAGAAAAGAGGAAATTAGTGAGTGAAATGGATCTGAGAACAAAGAAAAGAAGGCATACGCATAAATGAAGAAAGTGTGTTATAGGTAATCCTTCACTGTAGAAATAGATTAGATTATTATGCAGTCTCACTCTACGCATGAATGAATACCAACCTTAATCAAATGAAAGATTAGTCAACTCTTTGATCTTCATTACGATACAAAAGCATGTGAGTAGGCGGTAATAATCAAAGCCTAATTGTTTTTGTTTTTCCTTTTCTTATGAAAAAAGGAAGAAGTTGTTGTCTGTTGTCTGTTGTCTGTTATGTGTTGTCTGTTGTCTGCTGTCATTTCATGGAATTGTCAAATACATCGGTCTTTGAACCAAAAGACGACATCAAATTATTAAGACAGAAAAACCAACTCTCAATCTCAAAGGCCAAACCACACCAAAGCGATCGACAACAGATTCCAAACATGCACCAACCTGATCTACCCTTCACATTTGTTTTTTCAAAAAGCATTATCGTGGCCGGCCGGCTAGGCCTTCTGTTATGGAACATTTTATTTTTTTAAACGCCTATCAATTTCTATGGTTCTTCATTACTGAGCTGCGTATTCACATGGATCACCACTAATTTAACACTATATAAATTACAAAAAGGTACAACTATGGCCAACATACATCTCTACTTATAATTGAATACCAACAATTAAACAATATGATGATAATGGGATTGGACAGAACGTTTATGGGTCAGCGGAAAATAGCTGTAAACAGCAGCAGAAAGCTGCATTATATAAACTGCTCTCGAACCTGCCTCTGTGCCGAGAGAGAGAGAGAGAGAGAGAGTCACGGGAGCTCATAGAGCCTCGTTTGTTTTCCATTTTTTGAAATCTTAGAAGCAGCTACTCAAGAAGCTGTGTTAACTTTGAATGCATCATTATGTGTTGGTTTGAGAGGTTGAAGCTGCCAGCATGATCTGGGGAAGATCTGCCCTGTGGCTGCTGGTGTCGGCCTTACAGCTTGGTTTCTTCCATCAGGTCATCTTGCAGCTTCAATCACTCGATCACCAACAACACGGCTATTGCCTATTTCCTATTGCATGCAGCTTCAATTCAATGGCTTCTGCTTTTGCGTCCCACTCAACCCCAGATCACACCCATTTCAGATAAGTATATCTTTTACGCAATCTTCTTTGAGTCTGCTCATGATGTTTTTCTTTCTTTGTCTCAATTTTAGATATAAACACATGCATTTGGATTACTTCAGCTACCCATCGACCTCGTTGGTTAATCTTTTGTTATTCTGCTTTGTGCTCGTGGTCTTTGGCCTAAAAAGACAAGTTTTAATGTCTGTTTTATCGTCTCTAATTTCTCTTTGGACCTATCTTCTTCTAAATCATCTTTTATGAATTCAATTGGACACACCCACAAGCAAGAGGAAAACTTTCGATAAACCCACCTCATGTTATGTTCATACAATGTTCCTTCCTTTATCTTCAACCATGCCTTCTCTAGAAATCAATCCATCAAATATAATCTTCGAACCTCTTTTTTCCAAAAATTTTCGGAGGAGAATATTGTATAAGAACAATTCAAAGGTGCATCTATATACCTTTTAATGTTCAAATTGGCATGTAGATTCCTGTATATCAAAAATTGAAATCAAAATATTTGAGTGAGTTGTTGGGTTGACATTAATTTTATGATAATTTTTCATGTGCGAGTACCCAAATATGGATATCGCATTTTAGATACAGATGTATTTGAACATCGGTATCTATCAAAAGGATAAATCGCAACAGTCCATTCTACCATATTAGCTAGAGCCGTACCATATATATCAAATATAAGGGGTCACTAATTCATATAAGAATTTGGGAAATACGTAATATGGCAGGTAGGATTTCAATATTATACAAAATAATAATAATAACAATAAATTAATAATTGGTAACTGAAGCATAATATTCTGGGGCAGAAATCAAACACCATCTACGGGTTTGACCACCCCCGATCTGCCTGTATCTTTACAAACTTAGCCAACAGCCTAATCTCATCCTCCTGCAAACGTGGACCAAATGTGCACTGACCCCTTGGCTTACAGTTCTCACCAAAACCCTGAAACCAACCATTAACATTGATATATATATATATATATATATATAGAGAGAGAGAGAGAGAGAGAGAGAGAATTTCGTGCTTATAGAATAATGTTAACAAATAATTACTTACAGGCATTCTTCCCTTGCCATAATATGTAATATGGTAGATCTCCTCTTCCTCATCAGCTCCATTTCTATACAAAGAAGAACACAACTAAGTTGTGAAAGATTAATGAATAAGTTCAGCAGAGGATTCTAGAATGCTTAGCTTCGCTTTTATTAATAGCGCATACCTATAGATTCTAGAGCAACCATTCACTATTATGTGGTTCTTTGTTCAATCACCCAAAAGAACAGAATTAGTAAACCGGTTTCTGCATTGCTGGAATTGAGAAATTTTGAAAGCTTTCTTTATTTGATCCGGTCTCTCTGAAAAATTGTGGTGATTTGATTATACAAATTATTAAAGGTGCAAGTCTCAAGAGAGAAGCAAAACCAATTTTAGATGAGTATTTAATTATGGCAAGCTTTTGGGAGATTTTGAAATGAGAGGAAGATCTTTTGAGGCAAAGAGGTGATATGTTGTCGGGTAAAATACATTTTGTAGTCTCGTTTATAAGGTCCTTAGTTACAAATGAGTTTCCTCTATTTCCCTTTAAATCTTTACAGATAGGAGACCTCCAATCCAATCTTCAGGTTTCCTTCAATCTCAGTTGGATGTCCACCACCACCCTCTTCCTTCCTTATATCTTTTAAAAGAAACAACAGATTGCCTTTTTAATTTAATACTATATATATCTACAATTTTTTATACCTGAGCGCCGGCTAAGTTGCGATATCTCGACCATTCTCAACAGCCTAACCCTTCTATGTTTACTTGTCAAAGTAATTCTTAACTTATTAAATTTTAGATAGGGGGTTACCATGGTTTGAATTCATTGTCGGTAAGCTTTTTTACCATTTACATTAAATTCTATATTATAAAAAAATATATATATAGTCAAGCTAGCTCTCCTTATACAGTTGAATATAGATGAGAAATCATTTCTACGAAATATTTGCGTGATATTTTCATATTGTGCTCAACACCGTGTAGATTTTTGGGTAGAGATATTTCCCTTATTCATGAACTTACAATCTTCCTCATCTATAACCAATCGATGCAGTACAACGGTGGCACTTAAAATCAAACAAAACGTTAGAAGAGAGAGAGAAAGTAGATCCATGTTCTAACACCTCAAGGACTTGACACTAGAAGGCAATGTTGCATGCACATTTAGCCGAAATCATATGCTGATATATTAGACTTCATTGTTGTCTCAAGTTCAAGAAGATTACCTTTCAAGATCACTTGAAAAGAGTGTGGCACCCTAGGAGATAAGAAAGAAATTCAAAACCAAAAACATGAAAGCAGATTCCAGAAGAGATACTGATATCGGTAGATCAAAAGGAAAATTACGAACCTAATTAGAATAGGTAGTCAGATCAAATAAAAAATTATTTATCTAAAATAAAGAGCAGGGTAAGAGATGGTAGCACTTACGGGCTGAATTATGTTTCCCCCTCCATCATGACAGCCAATGCAAGATTGGCTAAACAATGCACCGCCTCTTTCAATTTCTACCGTTTGGGCAAGGCATCCTTTAACATAAATTACATGGAAGAAGCCAAGTCAGGAAATTGTATAAATAAATGCATATCAGTAAGATATTAGATTTCCGTTAAATTCATATCAGTATGTTTTCTTTAATAAAAATAATATTTTTGGCAATTTAGAGATGAGAACGAAAAAAAAAACCGAAAAGGAAACAATCTTGTAAATTCGTCATAATTTAGGAAATTTTCCTTCAAGGAAATTTGTATTTTACATGAATCTGTTTCCAAATTCATAAATAACTTAAAGTGATTTTAGCTAAACGTGCGCATACATAACTTTGGAAGTACGCAATGAACGAAGGTAGCCTTCAAATCATTTCATTTTCTAGGAAGACTTCGAAACAGGACTTGAGGGCCAGAGGCGGACGTTTCTGTTTCACACTTACAAATGTCACGCAAGGACTTTTGTTAATTCATAACCATCTGTATGATGAGATAAGCCCTAAAAAAGATACTATAGATCCACTCCAAATTTGAGATTAGTGACGATTTGACAAGATTCAGACACACACACTGCTTCTGATTCTAGCAAAATTGATTATACCGTCAACCGTCTAAGTCGAAATCACAATACACTTCTGTAATACGTTTCAGAATATGCGTTTTTGACGGTATGGCAATTTGAACGGAAAACAGCAATAAGTAGTGAATACATTAGTAGTGTATGTGTATGGTTTCACCTGGGGTTTTGGTGATAGGAGATAATGCTATCAGCACAGCAATGAGAGGAGGAGCGAAGCTCTTGGGAATCTTAAGTTGCTGTCCGCGCTTTTGACAAACAGCGGTTGATCGCTCTCCCTGGTTCACTTACAGCTTTGAAACTTCCAATTTTCTGGCAACGATACATACAAAGAAGAGAGGGAGAAGAGAGAGTAGAGAGACCTTAATTGAGAAGCAATGGGAAGCAATGCTAAAATCTGAAATTGCGGAGAGAAGATGCATCCCTTCGGCCTCAAGCTCAGCCCCTCTCTCTGTCTCCCTCGCGGGTTTAGGATGTGGCTGCCGCCTTAATCGCAAGTGCAAGCGGGTCGGACAACCCTGCTCCGATCATTTTCTTTTACTTTTTTTTTTTAATTAATCATTCAAAAATCAAAATAATATAGATTTACAGGTTTAGCGCATATATTACCTTTTTCATTATTAATTAATTAATTTTAAAACATCGAAAATAATATCTCATGCTTTTAGGAATTAGGACGAGCAAATAAATAAATAATTTTTTCAATATATATTTTATAATATGGTGTTAGTGACCATTATAATCTTTTTTTTTAATTTAAAACACATTAAAAAAAGTAACGAGTGATATAGTATTGAAAGTTATTATGTTTTTAAACTACAATTATATTTCAAACATATATATTTGAATTAGTATATTGAAACTATAACTTCGGTTTAGAAATCTTTCTGATCATAAAATGATCAATGATTTAGTTTACTATCGAAGTGAAAACGAAAAACATATTAGACATAGAGTGATCAAACAAATAAATTGTATAAATGTACTGAAAAAATCAAAATATATATAAAAGAAGAGAATAATATAAGGTGGAATGGGGCAGAAATTGAGACAAAAAGAGAGCGTTGAAACAACAGACGAAATATGGATGGCGGTAGGCAGTGGCAGATGGCAATATTGCATAATGGGAGTGAGTGAGGAGGCATGCTTGGCTCCTGGCACGCCACCCGCAGCAGCCGAATCCAGACGACAGATTGGGGCTGTGCTTGTGGCATACAGGGAGCCAGGCATGCCCTGGGCCGCCGCCACTGCCACTCCAACTCTCATATCTCAACTCAACTCATCGCCAATGCGTTATATATAGTATACTACATGGGGGTGCGGAGAGAAAGCGAGAGTGATTATATTAATTGTTGCAGTTTCCTTTAATGGATGATTTATATATGTAAAAGATGATCTCCATTCCATTAATTCTCCACCATCAGCGCCACTCTTGGCGCGCGTGGGTGCCTACCATTTTAGATTTTACCAAGTGAAGGGAAGGGCAGGGATGGAATCCAATATCCATATATTTTGAATTGCTGACCTGCCATATTCCCTCATTTCCAATCCTATATAGTATATATCAATATCCTATCCTCCTTTTCCTTCTTTCCTCCTTCACTTTCTATTTCCAACGCGCACCCTCACCCTTTTTCTCGCTTAATTACTCATTCTTCTCATATATATCTCATCTAATCAAAATCAACATTCTATTTCTCTCTCCATAAATTATCATTTTCATTTTTGCATTCTTTTTAATCCCAAAATATATTAAAAATTGCATTTTTTTTTGTTTACTAAGATTCACTACCGCACCACCCGATTAAATCGCTTAAATGTCGAGTATTTTTCTTAGTAAAGTGCACTATAATCGTTGCAGCACATTCAAAAGTACTTTGATTTCTCAAACCATCGTCTCGTCCTTAAAAGTTTTGCAGGAACCACTTTAATTTCTTGAACTACGTTCGGATTAATTTTTGTATTAAAAAATTAAATGTTGTTTTCCATAAATAGGATATGCCATCATTTTTATGTTATAGATGTCCATTTTATGTTATAGACTCAACAATATGTTATACATTTTGATTTTGTAGAAGCCATAGCCGTTTAACGAAGCTTTGAGGATAGCAAACCATTTGGGATTGCACTCAATCCAAGTTGAAATAGTCTTCATTCAAGTTATGTTCACCTCATTATTTTGTGAGAGGAGATTATTTTCTTAATGAGATTGAAACCTTGTAAAGAAGATTAAAGAAGGAAGGGGAATATGGTAGCTCATCTTCTAGGCCAAACATGCACTGGAGATCAACACAAAGGATTTTATTTTATTTTATTTATTTTTTAATTGAGGAGTGACTATTATGTGTGTTGATAGAGTTGTGAGAATGGAGATGAGAGGTGGAATAGCAGAACGTGAGTTAGGATTGAGAGCAAATGAACATAATGTTGAAATAGTGGGCGAGAGAAACTGTGGGAGGGCTGGTGGTGAGCTGGTGTCCACTAAGCTCTTTTATCTCATTAGAGTTGAATGTATATTTCTTCAACGTTTGTTTTATGCAGTTGAATGTCTAGTTTAATAAATAAATAAATAAATAGGATATGTGATTTTTGTTTAGAGAAAAATAGAGTGTGATTTAATTTAGTTCAACGTTCTTTTTCAGGCTAGTAGGTATTTTATAGATTCTTAGATTGCTCCGTAGTTTCTCGAAACTGTTCTTAAGCAAGAGTTTAGCAGGTATGTCTATTACGTGTTCAGTATAAGATACAATTTAAGAACGAAATGCTTGAGACAATTTTTTCTCGCACGAAATGATAGTTTTATTAATTTACACGTGTTTGGTTCTAGCATGAAAAACTGGATTCTTTTGTTATATGGTGTGCACTTATGTCGTGACAAAAGAGTTGAGAGGTTTGGTCGTACTAATTCTGACATCTCTCATTAATAACATTATTCCACGTGACTATGAGTTATACCTTGATTGAAGTTATTACTCAATATTATGTTTTCGAGTCAGACTTTGCTACAATTTATTTCTTCGAACTTTGGAAAATACAATTTGATCTTAGGTAGATGCATGAAGTCGAGGTTCCTTTCTAGTCTATTGACATCAATATCAAATCTAATATGTAATTTAATTGGTTGTTTTTAGAGTTAAAAGTATATGTAAACTAGTATATTAATTATTACGTTAGTATAATATTTGTACTTTGAACCTTTTAATTTTTATTTATTTTTTTATCTTCTTCTTCTTCCTTAGTAGTTGGAGGTTTGGGAGTTGAATTAGTAGTTGACACATTGAAGTTGGAGAAAAGAACCGCGACCTTATCAAAAGGAAAAAAAGAGAGAATTCCCGCGATATAAATATATCCTCGAATTAGATTTGTATCTTAATTTATAACTGAAAAGGAAAAAAAGAAAAGTTGTACTAGTTTTTAGCGCGCAAGGCCAGCCTCGAGCATCAGCGTCAGCGGCACGGCACGGCACAGAATAACAAGAAGCCGATAATAGGATACTTCCAATGGCGGATTTCACAACATGCACCTTTGTGTTCTTCTTCGCTTTGCTGTCTTTTCACATTGTTATTTCTGCAATTATTTTGGGCTATCGATTTCTCCTCTGTTCTCATTACGTTCAGCATGGTGACTCCCAAACCAAATCCTCCACGTCTTCAGGTCACATATTCTTTCTTACTCTCTTATCTGTCGTTGGGTTTCGATACTTTTCCTTCTGTTATACTTGTTGATTTTTACCTGCACTGTGATTTATACCCAGTTAGTTACCCCGATGTTTTATTTGTCTGGCATCGTGGTATACTATAATTTTGATCTTCCATTTGGTCGGAAAATTATTTCCATTGTTTCATTTCGTATTGATACGAGCTTCTTTTGTGATGCCGAGTAGCATATTTAGTTAACTACTGTTCATTTGTAATATTTGAGGCGGACTGTTACAGTCTGACTGTACGAGTTCATAATTTATCGCACAGAGAGAATATTGTAGAAGTTTACATTCTAATCTTGCACAGCAACAAGTCATTCTAACAAAATCGAAGTTGTAACAGAGTATATTTCAGGCGGAGTTTTGTTAGCATGCACACACACGTTTGATAGATATTGTCGGTCCATGAAAAGTTTGTTCGGTAAATATTGTTAGTCTTGTTCAGTTTGTTTGGATTGTGCATTGCATAATGCATATTATAGCTCAGCTGCATTTGGAGAAGTTTGTTTTTGTAACATTTGAGATTTCAACATTCTTACAGAATTTTAATTGTGTGGAGTCAATTTCTTCACACACATACAACAATCACAGCTTATCCATTGTATATGACCTACCGATCGAAGTTGCTTTTGATGATACTCGTAAGAGTGAACAATATCAAGTCCGGCTTCAAGAACGAGAAGATTGAAAAGATTTCTGGAATTATGATTTAAAGGCATCTGCATCTCCATTATGTGAATATTTATTTATTGAAGCTTTGTTTGCAAAACAATTTAAGGGATATCAAAATGCTCTGTTGAGTTTTGACAGACTTCACAAATATAAATGTTCATGCATGCAAACATTTCAGAGCAGTTACTTGTAACTTCTATGAAAACCAACTACAGAAATAACATAAAACCTTATTCCCCGACTCACACTTTGTGATGTGTGTGATTCCTATGTTCTACTGCTTCTCACCTGGTTTAAACTCCATCTACAAACTCCTCATTCATGCTTAATTTTACATGAATTTCATGACTATCCATTTTATTTTCTCTTACCATCTTATTTGCAGATAGAACAGGAGAAAAGTTCACTAGTTTACTTATCTAATGTTTAAAAGATGGAGATGATGATGTTGATTGTTGAACTATTCATCAGCTCATCCCTAATTTTATGAAACTACAGTTGAAATTAGTGCTACAATTGATTATCAATATCATTATACTATGACTAAAGGCATCATCTATCCGATGGAAAACAAAATTTATATGAAATGTACATTTATTTGCAGGAGCCTTATGTTAGTAACAAAGATAATCCATATTTTGATTCTCCATTAGAGGGCCACGGTTTTACTTCTAACGCCAGTTCCCAAGAAAGGATTATCAGCCAGAATACTTTTCAGTCTACATCTGATTATGGTGACGTCAATATTAGAAATAGAAAATCAGTTTCAAAAATTATCAACAAAGATACAGAGCCCCAAATCGACGATTCAGGCTTGGATATTATTTTTGAACCATTTGAGAGATCGTCATCTGGAAGGTGGTTAAAAGGTGGCAAGACATTACCATTTGCTTTCCCAACTATTTTGTCGAATTTGAACCCTGATGTGGGAGACTTTAATAATAGAACAAGCAAACGTGAGCCTGAGACCTTTCAAGAATATCACACCACAGACAAGCCGGCAAGGCCCTGGACTGAAAAGTCATTTAGTGTGAAGAAAAGGAAAGATGACTTCTCTGGCGTTTCACTACCTCAGTCAGCAGCTTCATTTTACAATGGGTGGTCACCTATGATGGAAGTTGCTGAATCGTGTGAAAGCTTTGAAAGGCTAAATGCTTATCTGAAATCCAAAAGGGATGATGTCAATGCAGGAGTCCCTGGAAGATTTCTGCATGTTGTCATAGGAAAAGATGTTTCAGGTAATACTTTTGGTTGACTCTTAATTTGCCATTCTTTGTCGATCTCCTAACGTAGAAGATTTATTTTAGGATATCATACTTGCTAATGTTCTTTCTAGTTGATGTAATACCGAATGTAAGAATTGTATTCCAGATTTCAGAATGATCCAAAATACAAAAAGAACTGGTTATATATAAGCAACCAACTTAACTAACTCATGAAGGAGACTAACAGCTATATTTCTAACAACTAACTAACAGCTAACTTAACATTACATCATATTCCATCTGTCCCAAAAGAAAAACTCGACCACGAGTTTTTTTAAGTGGCTAGCTGAAAAGCAGCCTCCGCTTGATAGGCATAGATGTCCGCCACATTGAAGATAGGATTTATTTTCAAGTCTGCCGGAAGATTGATCTTATAGGCATTGTCCCCATATTTTTGCAGGACTTCAAAGGGCCCGATCTTTTGATTATGAAGTTTATTGTAGGTGCCTGCTGGAAAACGGGATTTTTAAGAAAGACCATGACTAGATCCCCTTCTTTAAATTGCTGTTGTTGTCGATGGTAGTCAGCATTAGCTTTGTAGGTTGCGGCAGCTTTTAGTAAATTCTCCGTGACTTCCTTATGAAGCTCCACGATGTGTTCCGCCATATGTTCAGCCTCCTGTGGATCGGTTCTTCATGTGGTTGTATGCAAATTCAGCCTGCGCTAGAGTAAGATCCCATTGCTTAGGTTTGTCTCCACCTAGGCAGCGTATAAGATTCCCCAAAGTTCGATTAGTCACTTTGGTTTGGCCATCCATTTGGGGATGACTAGTGGTGCTGAACTGTAACTTTGTATCAAAATTTCTTCCATAACATCTTCCAGAAAAAACACAAAAACTTGACATCGCGGTCAGAGACAATTGTCTTAGGTATGCCATGAAGTCGGACAATCTCTTTAAAAAATAGGTTGGCCACATAGATTGCATCTAACGTTTTTTTGCAAGGTAGAAAATGTGACATCTTACTAAAGCGGTCCACTGCTACTAAAATGGAGTCATATCCTCGCTGTGTTTTTGGGAGTTCGAGGATGAAATCCATCGAAAGATCCTCCCAGATAGTTGTAGGAATAGGTAGTGGAGTATATAAGCCAGTATTATGTGCCTGCCCTTTGGCTGTCTGACAAATAAGACAACGAGACACAAAGTTGTATACATCCTTGCGAATTTGAGGCCAATAAAAACGCGTGGCTAGAAGGTCCAATGTCTTATCACGGCCCAGGTGGCCAGTGAGGCCGCCACTATGTAGATCTTGGATTAAGGATTCTCGAAGGGAAGTATGAGGTATGCATAAACGGTCACTTTTAAAGAGATATCCATCAAGAATATGGAAGTCATTGGAATTAACATTCTGATTGCATTGCTGCCAAAGTGTGTGAAAGTCCCTGTCATTTTCATAGGATGTAGGTAGATGTTCAAAGGCAATGACTTGCCCAGAAAGTAAGGTCAAGATGCTAGCTTTCCGACTTAAGGCATCAGCAACTTTGTTAGGCATCCTTGCTTTGTGCTTAATAACAAAATCAAATTTATGTAAAAAGGAGATCCACCTAGCATGCATGCGGTTAATTGTTTTCTGGGTTTGTATATACTTAAGTGAGAAATGGTTAGTGTAAAGTACAAATTCTCGGCCTATAAGATAGTGCTCCCATTGTTTAAGCGCTCTAATTAATGCATATAGTTCTTGTTCATAGGTACACCATTTTTGTCTTGGGGGGTAAGTTTCTCACTAAAGTATTCCAAGGGATGGCCTTTTTGGGACAAAACAGCACCTATACCAATGCCTGAAGCATCTACGGCTACTTCAAATGGTTGAGAAAAATCAGGCAAGCCAAGGACAGGGGTGTTGCTTAGTTTATCCTTAAGAGTTTCAAAGCTAGAGTCCTGGTTTTTGTCCCAAAGGAACTTTCCTTTCTTTAAGCATTCAGTTGAGGGAGCTGCGATGGAGATAAAATGTTTAATGAATTTTCTATAAAAAGAAGCAAGTCCTAAAAAACACTGGATATCCCTAACAGAGGTTGGTTTTGGCCATTTCTGAATTGCTGAAATCTTAGAAGGGTCAATGGAAATGCCGAATTGATTAATATAGAAGCCTAGGAATGCAATTTCCGTGGTGAGGAAGGAACATTTGCCTAAGTTAATGTACAGTTGATGCTTGTGCAGTATTTCAAAGAGAATTCTAAGGTGACTTAAGTGATCCTCAACTGTTCGACTATAAACAAGTATATCATCGAAATAAACCACAATAAAATTATTGAGAAAGGGTTGTAAAACCTGGTGGATAAGGCGCATGAAGGTGCTCGGGACATTGGATAAACCGAATGGCATCACCAACCACTCAAAGAGGCCTTCATGGTTTTAAAAGCCGTCTTCCATTCGTCCCCTGGTTGGATCCTGATTTGATGATACCCACTTTTGAGAACGACTTTAGAGAAGAATTTGCCGCCATGTAGTTGATCCAATAGATCCGACAGTCTTGGGATAGGGAAACGGTATTTTATGGTTATTTTATTTATAGCCCGACTGTCCACACACATCCGCCAAGAGCCGTCCTTTTTAGGTGCAAGTAGGACCGGAACAGCACACAGACTAAGGCTGGGACGGATGTGTCCTTTCTGGAGTAACTCGTTGTTCTGTTCATGGAGTCTTGAACTTACAGGTTTATCCCAAGGTGTCCGACGAATAGGAGTCTTGAGGCGTTTCTTTTCTATCTTTTCTTCAATTTTGGTGGCCATTGATATCACATCAGTGAGGAGGCCAAAAGGTTGAGTGTCCATCTGATCTTGGATATCATCCCGAAGATCATCAACGAACCTGGCAATCTTGTAATCCTCTGTCTCCCCTAGATTCGTCCGAGCGCCAAGGCGATGAAAAGATTCACTATAATCGGCGATCGACTTGGTACCTTATCGACACCTTTGGTACTTCTGGTAAAGGAGTTGCTCAAAATTGGCTGGCAGAAAACGTTCACGGTGCAGCATACCTGGCCAGCAACGAATAGGTCGTTTGCCCAAACGACGCCGGTTGATCTCCAACTGATCCCACCACGCAGATGCGCCAGACTGAAGCTTAAATGCAACCGGGCGGACTTTCTTATCCTCCGGAGTGTTGGTATAGTGGAAAAAATTTTCAACGTTCTTAACCCAATCCAAGAAAGCTTCCACGTCCATCTTGCCATTAAAGGTGGGGAGGTTGATCTTCATTCGGAAGTCTGTACGAACACCGCCCCTATTGTAGTCGCCCCCTCGATCAAATCGTTGATTGGCCCGAAAAAAATATCATTTGTCGTCAGAAGAATCCGAATCTTGGATACGTAGTTGCAGATCCTGACGACGTCGCTCATTTCCTTCCCCATTTCTTGCTGCCTCAGGGGTTCGCGATTGGTTTCTTGGTTGATTCCGGTGCTGGTTGCCGCGTTCTTCGACGTTCCAATTTCCCAAGTCCAATCGAAGACGTTCTTGCTCGACCGAAATCAATTCCAGTTGATGTCCCACATTCTCTAACAGCTCATGGATATTCTGGACGCTAGCTCGAACCTCACCCAGGGAGTCTTCTGCCAACAGTAAACGATTGGTAGTTGATCTGGGCGACAGAGCTTGTACTGTCGAAGGATCCACCGCATGACCTTTCCTGGAAGCCGCTGTGTTCTTCCCCCCATCAGGTCCTAAGATTGATTTAGGGCTCTGATACCAATTTGATGTAATACCGAATGTAAGAATTGTATTCCAGATTTCAGAATGATCCAAAATACAAAAAGAGCTGGTTATATATAAGCAACCAACTTACCTAACTCATGAAGGAGACTAACGGCTATATTTCTAACAACTAACTAACAGCTAACTTAACATTACATCACTAGTATTAGTCCATCTAAAGTTTAGCACACATTTGGTTTATATGACAATATTGATATACCTTCCATGGTACTATGGAGAACTTGAAACTATTCTTCTAGGGGTTTGTCAATGATGCTCTGGGATTCTATGGTTTTTATGTCCTCTGACTGTTTGGTTGATTAATGATTTATTTGTTGAAATAAAAACAGTACTGTGGCACCCTCAAATGTTAGTTGACATTTGCTAAGCAAATTGCTCAGGAATATAAAATCTCTATTTAGATCTATGTGTTAGTTCAATACAAATTGAAAGGAAACTAGAAATCTGTCAAAAGAAATTTTCTGCCATCTCATGTCATGACTTGACTGGAGATAGAAAGTTATCCTATTTCTCACTTTTTCTTTTTTTGCCATATAGTAAACTACAGATGAGATGGTAAAACTTTAAATAGCTACAGATGAGATGGTAGAAATCCACCTCGGAAAACTGGAAATCTGATTAATATTAAGATTGCCAATTTAAACCAAAATCAAAGTCTAGATTTGCCTCTCGAACTGTCGGTCCCACAATTTCTTTCTACATCTAACTAAAAGAGTTTATCTTAATCTGTCAACTGAAAATTTCAGCAATAGTTTTTTTTTTTTTGAGGTATAATTTTTAATTTAAGGAAAGTATGTTTGAATTCATTTGGACTAATTTATAGACGTAAATGGAGAGTAATTATGTGGAGAAATTTGAAGATG